TTCATCCCTTTGTTCGATTCTTTTTCATCCCGTCGCTTGTTTCGCGGTAAATCGGTTGCGTTGCAAAACCATTCGAACACTGGATGGTTCATTGTGCTAGTCGGGGGGGGAGGTTATTTGTTTTTTGTTTTTTTCCTTTTGCAATGGAACGTCATCGGAAAAATTATTTTTCGCCTCTACGTTTGGTATAGGGTAAAAGTATCTAATACCGCCCATGTTCCTAATATCGCCATCAGTTATATCTCGCAAACTACCTAACCATATGCAGGAGACAATTATAGAAATGGAAGTACTTTGGTGAATCATAACCGTGTCAAAATGTATAATAATAAACACGGTTTTTTTAAAACATAATAGAGTAAGCGATATTAGGTACACTTTTTTCAGAACTCGATTTCTGAAAGTCTTACGTTTTTTTAGTCCCAATTCAAAATCTGTGAGTTTCAACGGTTCTAACTTATGCAACACGAAACGCAAATAAATTTCTCTTTACTTTGAGACAAACCACGAACAAAAATATCAGTTATTATTCAATATACAGCGATTTAACTTTTGCTAGGCGATATTATGTAGGTACCTTCACTCAGACTCGACGGAAGTGCTTCGTTCTCGTAACAAGAACAACAAGAAATCCCTAAGAACTACTAATGTCTGTCGACCAGTCGGCGAAGGAGCACCAGTGGTGGCAGAACTTGCGAACAATGGCTCCCCGTCAGCCTAGTCGGCACCCGCGAGTCGTGATAAACAATTCAGTTTCATCGTGGCGCGCGCACTCGTAAATGTTTTATGCCTGGACGTCGCGTCGGGGCGGTGCGAACGCGCAAACTTGCCCTGGACACAGAATATGCGAGGAGAGTCTCGAAACGTTTCGAAAAGAAGTTTTTGATTTTTACCGTGATCACCACACGAAGCCTACCATGAAAATAGTTGGTACTGTACTTTCGTAGAAGAACTATCACGGGGACATATACAGTGACTCACATGTTCGTTCGTATACATACTTTCCAAATTGCAATTAAATCTAGAAATTGTTATGCACCCTCTGTTTAGATATCCTCGTGACTTTTACTTTTATCATGGTTTCGTGGTAAGTCTTTCTTAATTTTGAAATAAGATTTCTAGTCTGGTACGTAATCCGATGGAATAAATGTCGCAGCTTTCTATGAACAATTTTCCGAGTCACCGTAATATCAGATGAAACGTAGAATATCACCAGTAATAGTTAAATAAGAAACCTGCAATCTGTCATTTTGACGGGTTTGGTAGTTTTTGTGTTAACGTAGATTTCCACGATTCCGTTCAACCGCGACTCACGTTCACGGAAATGATCTCGAGCCTTGCTCGGTTTATAGATTGCGATAAACAGTCGTGGCGCGGGGCTGACTTCGTGCCGTGGGCGAATTACGCGTACGTGTACACGCGTGGACATATTTATTACGTGGGCGGAACGTCGTCCCGGGGAAACGTGACGAAGTGGGGGTATGTCTCTCTCCCGTTTCCGTAATCAAATTTGCATTTTAACTTGCTCTGTTCTTGCCTGGCGTATGTACGCGCGAACGAGCGAGAAACAAGTTCGCTCATCTCCAGAGAGAGTTCTCGTCCATCGCGAACAATTTATCTTTTCGTTGACGTTCGCCAGATTAACGTCTTGTCGGCGACGAATTATACTTCCCTTTGTCGCGGGTGGTAGCGGTGTTCGGTTCTCCCCTGGGGTATTTACACGGTAATCGTGGCCGAAAGAGAGACAGAGAGAGATCTCCGTTGAAATTTTCCTCAGGAAAATTAATAAATTGCCCGCGTTTCTCTTTGACTACACCTATTTGTCCCTGCGACCATACTTCGGTCTCCTGAATTTACGATCCCGTTTCTCCTGTCCTGATCCTCCCTCTTGCCCGTTTCAAAGAACACGCCGTTAATCCGCGCGAGGAAAAACAGCGATTACGAGAGCCACTGTGCGACATTTCCCGAACTGATCGGATACACCCGTGTTACTATACATCCTTTCCGTTTGCGTGGATTCCTCTGTTTCGCGGCCTCGTTCCCGCGGAAATTGCTCCTAGACACGCAGTATGTACAGTAAATCCGCGATGAGTGTTCAAAGGCTCTTCGGCAGTGACAAGGAGAGGTCCCTTGGTGTAATGCAGACTTTTTAATGAGATTTTGCACAGAGACAGAGCTTGGAATTCTGAAGCTTATGAAATATTTAATGTTCAGTGGCGAGGAGCCTTCGAACACTCAAATACCCCAATACTCTTTTAAAGAGAATACAATATTACTTTTGTCAAACGAACCACCGTGTGGGTATCGAAATAAATGCATTAATCGCGAGACGGTATTTTCGGAATAACGGCTGTACCACAGCAGTTGAAATGAACGTTCTATTTTTCGGCCCGCGGGGGACACATCAGATCCACGGGAACATTGACTGGCCCCATTATCGCTCATTGTTCGCGATCGAAATTGTCCCCGGGCGCGAAAGTTTGCAGAGTCACCTACTCATCTCTCTCTCTCTCTCTCTCTCTCTCTCTCTCTCTCTCTCTCTCTCTTCCTCCCCCATGAATGCTCTAGGAACCGTGAAAATAATCGTGCTCGCGCACGCGCATCGCCACTCGATGATTATTCGTTAGCGTCATTATCGGGAGGGATGCGATTACGAAATGCCGCGGTTCGCCCCGCGACACAATGCTCTCTCCATGTTGATCAAACGGTTACGTATCGTCAGCCGGTAACGCGACTAATTAGCGTGATTGCCGTTGACGAAATAACGGCGTCGCATCGTCATGAAATCGGTTAGCTCCGGCTAGATAATTAACGCGTTTCCGTGTTTCGACGGCTCGGAACTATTGTACGTACAAAGGAGCCCGCGACGCCACCGGGAAAACTGGGACGTCCTTTGTCGAGTGGATTCCCCGTGGATATTTTGATTAGAATGTTCATCGAGGCGAGTGGGATACATGCCGATCGATCCTCTGTCTCATCGTATGACGTTCATGGAGTGTAATTGGAAATCGTCGCTGTCTAAGACCTTGAAAGAGGTGTTCAAATTTTAGCGACTACGTATCATCGGCCGACTAGAGTAAATTATCCATAAATGCTCGGAAAGGTCTCTATGTTACTGCTGCTTTTAATCCAACCACACTTGAAAATTTTATAATAAATATAGAGATAGTTTACTCGAAGAATTTGCACTGAACAAAAAAAAGCTTTGAAAAGGTGGTTATGAGTCGAAAAAGAATGGGAAACTATGTTCTAATGTTTTGAAGTTGTTCGATCTCGAAGTCCACGCCTTGAACACGATATACACGTCCCGTGCGACACAATAATACCGAGTAACGATCGCAGGAGGGAAAGGTCGGCTCGCCGTGTCGCTATAAAAATTAAAATGTACGTTCGGCTCGCCACCGTCGCCATAATTAATGGTTCCCGAACGTGTCCTTACATGGACGCTTGGAACACGAGGGGGAAAAAAGGGGGAAAAAATCGATGATCCTGGCTGGCAATAAAAATCGTCCACGCCTCATTTTTCACCGTGGTTCGAGATGTGGCTGGCACGGGGGACAGAGATCGCGGGATAGATCGCAGCACAAGGGAGATTTATCGCGGCTGACGGAAACCATCGGTTTCGAGCGATAATCTTCGATAATGTCCGTTCGTCTCTACCAATGATAACGGGAAAGAGGGAGAGACCCGTCCCGGGGAAAGGCGATCATAAAATATTAGATTTTTTCACGAACAACCGCCAGTTGGAGAGAAGGAATTAATTTTACTGGAAGTCTCTGCACGAACGGCCCGCGATATTAAGAGATCGGTAATATCGCGGTACCAGGAGATACGATAGAGGTATTCTTCAGCCTGGTACGCCATTTTTCACCGTGGAATCAGGGAAGGTTGGTTAATACCCTGTGCGACGAGAGGATGAAATTCTGTCCGACAAGCGGTGTGCTGGCTCCGAACCGGAGACATCCATCCGCAAACGAAAGCCAGGTGTTCTTTTTTCCAAGTAGGCGGTGAAAAGACATTCTAAAGACTCGAGAGTAATGGGAAAACTTGTAGGGTAGATGTCCCAATTATTGCCACTTTAAGATTCTAGCGTAAATTCATTTAATCGTTTTACGCGTTGTTTAATCTAAAAATCATCTCAGTTTGATATGACGTATACAATATTTGTATCAATAATTTTGCTCGTCTTGTTTTAAGAAGGTTTTGAAGTCTATTCAGGGAACATCCACCTCAGCTACGATGTTAATGGATGCGTATCCCCGAGTCGGGAATCCTCGTGTCGAGTTATTTCGAGAGTGTATCGCGGATGCTCTCGAAAAATATCCGCTTTAACGTGCTCCTTTTAGACGGAGCGCCGCGGAGCTTTGAAATTTTCGAGCATATCCATCGGGCTCCCAGAAGGCATTCGATACACACACACAAGTGTATATAACTTACGTGCCTCTGGGATTTGAACGAGGAGCAACATACACAGGCGGTCTCCGTGTATGTACATTTTTGTAAATAACCGGGAAGACTTTCGATCCGCCGCGCCTTTTTATCATTCATACGCGTTTCCCGGTTGTAGTTTGCCTATTCAACGCGCGTCTCCTAAACGTAACTCCTTTGAAGCTGTTAAGGACAGCGAGACGACACGGTCGAGGTTTTATCACGCGAATACGACTTCTTCCGTGGTCTTTCAGAAGAACCAGCTACGCCATTTTCAATTCTGCTCATTCATAGTCGACACAGGAAACGCGGTTTAATTGGACACCAGAAGGGTAGGACCTGTGTGTGGCTGCTTCGAGGATCGTAAACTTGCGCGAATGTTACGGTTTCGGAGAAAGTCCACCTTTAAAATTATCGTAGGACACTTTCGAGGCAAAGATTTCCAGTATTCAGCCATATACAACCAGACGACACGAGAGACGGTTAGGGTTATTTTAGATGAGGCACGCGCCGGCAGAACTACTATTTGCCTCGGAGCGATGATATTTACCGAGAGGACTATTATCTCTTACCTTGTCCCTGATTTCCTGTCGCATCTTCTCCCGTTCCTCTTCCATTTTGCGGTGCTTCTCCTTCCTTCGTTCCTCAGCCTCCCGGATGGCTTCTTGCCTTTCCCTCTCGGCCTCCTCTTCCTTCTCCTTGTCATCTTCGTCTCCGCCTTCGCCACCAACGGCTCCTACGAAACAAAACAGAGAAAACATTTGTAGAAAGATGATCGATTCTTTACGAAGAACATGTTGCAATATAGTATAAGAATAGCATATTGCGGTAGAACAAGGACAGAAGAAGAAATAGACGCATGGCATCCGATAGAGAATGGATATTTTTCATCTCCCCTCTGCGATATATTAACTTGTTGTAACGATCGATTACTCCGTGATCGTTGGAAGCTTCTTCTTCGTAGTTTCACTCGCGGTTATGCTCGGTATACAAACCGTCGGGATAGGGGCGGGGGGTGGGGGGCGACAACGACGGTGAGAAACTAACGGTTTACCCTGGGGAGCAAACATTGTAAATCAACCCGATAGCTGAAGACGATATCGTTGTTCCGTTGTACATCGTAACGCCATTCCGGGGATACGTCAGATTCTCCCAGCGAAGATTATTTCGGCTGTAGCAGTGTCTCGATCGATTCACGACAAACTGGAAAGTCTCTCCCCTCGTGCTTGAATTGCTCGGTTGCACCACCTGTTACAGGACACACCCTGTACAATCACTTGGTGGTTATTGTTCTCGCGATATACGAGATTTTATCAGGAAGAAATAACCCAATAATCACTGTCCATGATTGTCAGTGGACAAATTTAGTCCTATTCAACTTCTACATAGGATAACATTAAGGGATCGTCATACCTCCCTTATTCTATTTCACCCTTTCGCTACCACGGGCGTATGTTTAGTTAAGAATGTTTGGTCTGTTCGTCGTGAATCACGGGAGTCATTCCCGATCGAATTTGCTTCTCCGACCAGTCAGTTTATAGCTGTGGAAAAGAAAGGACGCGAACCATCAGGGTTACTTTCCTCCATGTCGTTCCGGAGCGAAACAAACCTATCCGATGGAAATTGTCGCGGTCTTAACGAAGTTTTATTGGTTTACCGAAAGATTAAGTGGATTCGAGACGAGACTCGGTCCGCCTATTACTTTGCCCCAACAAGGTTGCAAAAAGAAAAAAAAAACAGAATCGTGTTTACACCGTGGAAACACATCCTTCCACCCCGTTCGCTTTTCCGCCCGCAACACGATACCCCTTGGTGCTTGACGCGAGAAATAAGAAAGCTGTTTGCGAATCTGTTGGCCACTCTTAACTTCTCCCTTCCTCTCCCGTTCGCTCGCTCGCAGAATTAATGGCAAACAACAGGGAGAATTTGTCTTTCGTAATGCTCTTTCCTTCCGTAAATAACGGCCGGTGTTTGCGATCGCGGCGTGGAGGACGGGGAAAAATCGCGTGCCATACCTAGAGATGGGATAAAGTATGTTGCAAGTAGGTTCGAATCTAACTGAATAGTTTCGAATGTTTCATAAATACGTCGAACAAGAAAAGCAATACTTTTAAGTAGACTCGAACCTAAACGAACGCGGTTCGAATAAAGTATACTGAAACCCTGGCTGAATAGATTCCAACCTTTTATGAGTATTTCGATCCAAAGTTGTCTATTCTGTGCAATTGTAAAATGCATTTATTTACCGATATTTTTGTGAACAATATTAATTTGTTAAAAGTTACATGCCCGATAATAATTCGAGTACTACATGTAAAGAGTTCGAATCTTTCTAACATCAAACTATTTACAAGTAATTGATTGATGACTACTACAAGTTTCGAATTTACAGGTACTCATTCTAGAGTTCGAAAGCAACTTGTGTAAAATGATTACATTTCAAGCATAGTACTCATTAAAATTTTCTTTCTTTTGAGTAGTTATCGAAACCCATGAAATGAAACTTGGTTATTGAAATTGACTCGGATTCGTAAATACATATTGAACTTGATCCCATCCCTAGCCGTACCCCCTCGTGTCGTGCGCGTGGCCTCCAGCAGTCGTTTTGACGAAGACGAACGAGTTTATCGGAACGCGATTAATCCCCGATAAATCTTTCGGCTGTCTTGTACACCCCCGAAAAATTTCAATCCAGTCTCGCGGGAACCAGCTCACTGGATTCACTTCCGGTCCAACAGAAGACCCCGCTGGCACAATAGGGGTCCTCTGTTTCGCGACATCGTGGATGTGGGAAAACCTTACGGAAAAACCGCACTGAAACTCGCCTCGAGGCTGGGAGAAACGCCGCGACGCCTGGCAATATCGGGAAGGTTAGACACGTCGGAATGGAACGGGGGAAACGGAGAAAGGGATTCTAGTCTCTACGGCTGTCTGCCGGAGAATGATGTGCCAGGACCTCCGGGGCTCGAGGAAATTAATACCACTTCTGTTCCCGGCTGCGCGTCGCCGTGTCTCTCTGCCATTTTCCCTTTCTTTCCGGTGCCATCCGGCCGGGCCCCCTGCTATCCTCGGTGTCGTTCTGTTTGCACTGTTTCCCGCAGAGCCGGGCGATGGTTTTCCGCGTGCTGGAACGACGGTGCCGGGCGCTTTGAAGTCCGAGTCGAGGGAGAACATTCATTCTCCTTCCCCTTGCAGGTTCTGTTTTTCTTCCTCGTCCTTCGCTTCTACATTCTACACCCTTTTCCCTTATATCCCTGACACCTTCGTGTGTTTTTTTTTCTCTTACCGGTGCTTGCTCCCTCTGAAATTAGAGCCAGATTCCCATGGTATGCCGTAATTGTAATCGCCTCGATGACTACTTAAACATTCGCCTTCGTGGAGATTGGGTTCGAACCGATAGGACATCCTGCATCTCCGTTTAAAGTATTCATTTTATATGTAGCTTCGATATACACTACCGTCCATAAATGTTTGGAAAATATTTATCGAGTTTTCGAAGATCCGGTTCCGAAGGAGAGAAATAGAATCTACTTATCACATTGTCCACTCTCGTAAACTTATCTCTTGTAAACTTACATGATACGTCGGCTTTAATTAAATATACTTATTCGGACCGATTACACCGATCTCACCGATCCGTTGTTCACCATCGTAACCGCGAGCGCCAGTCGATGTCTGGCTGGCCTAGTTCCTCTCCACGTGGTCGTGGATTAACCAAGAATGATATAAACCTGCCCCGTCGTTTGATTTCCATTATATGCGCCGATCGAATAAAATAAAACAATGCGTTGTTTGACCCAGTTCCACCGACCCGATTCAGAGGGTAGAACGGGGGTTCCCATTCAGTCCCGCGAGCCAATTTACCGTCCCCCTTTTGTCTCGAAGATTTCTTTCACCGTCGATACAAGTCACGATAATCCACCACCCAGCCAACGAAGAGGAGCTTTGGTTATTAGTCGGACTGTGAATATTTTCCAGGCGTTTTGAATCTCTCGATTCGCTCGCGGGCAGCATTGTGCTGTCTAGGGGCTCACGATTGTGTCGTCGCGATCGATTCGACTCTCTTTCTCTTCCCTTCGTTCCAGGTTTTTTCCTTTCTTTTTTCGGTTTCATAAATGTTTTCAGCGGACGACTCGAAATAAAAAGCAAAACGTCGGTCGTCGTTTCGACGGCGACGCCGTGTCGTCCGTGGCTCGATTTACGAACGTCGACGGTGGCTGGCATGGTTCACATCCGCGCGTCGTTGGAACAACGTCATCTATGCCGGTGCTCGTGCAACAAGAACGGCCATAACAGCGAAACGAGGGACAATTGTCCCCGGTGCAAATGGAGCGACGAAGGAGGAGGAGCAGGAGGAGGAGGAGGAGGAGGTGGTGGGACATTGTCATTTGCACCGACATTCTCGCGGAAACGTGCCGTATCCGAGCGGCTTCCGTCCGTGGGGCCCACACGGGGTTCATCGACCTGTGGACACGAAACGATCGAACGGGTTTTAGTTCTATCGCGGTATCGATCGCGAACACTCGTCGTCGTTCTCTCGTTCTGAAGACGATCGGAAACTCGTAAAACTCTATTGGCCGCCTAGCTGTACCGTTTGATATTTCTGCGGCGGTACCACTGAACGTTTCTCGAATCGGAAGGATTATCATTTCTATCGGAAACCGCTCGATTCCGACAATATTATTACCGCAAGGCTTTTTAAACAGTTGCATAATGGTCCAACATCAAAATTTAGCTGCTCGAAAAGAAATGTCATTTATTTTCTAAATAAAAAATTGTAACCAATTTATTATCAACCACGGAAGATTTTGTTCCATGCGTTTATTGTTCTCCTCGGCAGCTTTTAAATTTTTATTCTGGACCACCGTGAGAAGTCGTAAATTTCATGGTAAACGAAACATGAATCCAACCCAGATAGAAATCATAAAAACCCGCAAACCTACCTTTTTTTGTACTAGGCGGTCTAAAACCGTGTATATGTATACGTACATTCGCGGCGGAATCATTAACGCTCGCGGCCGGGAATCATTTTCCTCTCCGCTCTGCGCCATCCATTGACCGACCCGGGACTTGAATACACCGACGATGATTTTAAAAGCATGACGGAGGGAGGGACCAGGAGTCATTCACGGTCTCCAACGTCGATATTTCAACGCGCGAGACACGGCCGTCGCGTTCAACGCGACCCTCTTTCGGGCCTGTCTTCGCAACTAGGCCAAGAGTCGAGAGAGAGAGAGAGGTGCAGCTCGCGTTTTTTTGTTCCTGTGGATCATTACGCGGAACGTTGCTGAATATTTTCTTTTTCCACACTATTTTATAACGATTAAGGTTTTCAATTGTCATTAGACGCGCGATTCTGTCACGCACAGTAAACCATTGATTAGTGTTCGAAGGCTCCTCAACACTGACAAGGAGAGGTTCCTAGATGTGACGCTGCCTTTTTAATGAGGTTTAACACGGTGGTAGAGCTTGGAGTTCTGAAGCCAATGATATTTGTTTCAGCTGCATATGGCCATTAATTTATGAAATATTTACTGTTCAGTGCCGAGGAGCCTTCGAACACACAACGAGAATTTACTAGAATTTTTGGTAATGACGCGCCGTTTGTCTGTCTTCTCTAATTAGCACTCTGTTCGTTTATCATCGAATCGAGACTTGTTTCGGCCACGAGATCGTGCGCAAGCAGTACTTTCTCGAGTGGAATACCACGTTGAAACGACCCGAATAACGACGGAC